GAAACCATTAAAACGATTCTAAATGGTAAGTCGGGAAACATTTATTTTAAACTATCGCCCACGAGAAAAACACATACTGGTAGATCATACAAACGATGGACTGCAGACTGAAGAGACTTATAAGCCTATCTTCAGAAGAATAAGAAACACAAGTAGCTGAACAGCTGACAGACGGTAAAAGTAAAGTTTGTCCCACTATACGCCAAATAGGCGTTTGGGGGGAGTGGAGGTATAGCTCCTCTCTTCCTTGACCTCGGCACTAGAGGGGCCCCAGAGCCGGTCTGGACGCAGAGGCTAGAGGAAAAATCCTCTGCCCCCGTCGGGGATCGAACCCCGGTCGTCCAGCCCGTAGCTAGCTGACAGACGGTGGGAGACATTAATTTAAAACATTCTCAAGCACTAAATAAAAACCAATGAAAGGTCAGTACTTTACGCCGAGCTGAGGATTCTTGTACGGAGCGAATCAACAAAGACTGGATGACGAAATCAGTGAATGAAGTATATAAAGTTCAACGTTTATCATGTAAAGAGGGCAATAAATCTTTAACTTGCAAACCGTTAAAACTTTTTGGATCAACTCTGTATCTAATATAAATAAAACTTGTCCAATAAATACATTAATACGTCAGATTACACGAAAACAGACTGTGTAAACCTCGAGCGAATAAACAGACACGTTGTGGAACACGAACGGATTATGCAGTATCTCCCACTAGCAGTCTTAGCGACACATAAGTCAACCTTATCTACGTGGAAAACCCACTTGTTACTAGTGTTCGTTCACGGCCAGGACTTGCAAAACCATGCCCATTCCGTTCGCGATATTACTCCGTTTAAACAAGTCGCGAAGTTACGGACGGATTTTCGTGAAATTTAATACCACGTGCTTTAAAAATCCTCTTTAAAAAATCGGGGTCTGACGTAGAACAAAAATAGAATCTTATAGAAACAGCGTTTTTCCCTTCAAATATTAACAAAGAATAAATCTGTACGATGTGATGGGTGGGGCACGTAGCACGCAAAGGAATTGCTGAGAAATCCTCACGAAAAATGGTTGGAAAACCTGAATAGATAAGACCACTTGAAAAAACCTGGGCACCAACAGTAGATGGCAGGACACTTAAAAAATGGATTTCGGATAAATAGCGTTGGAGGGTGTGGACACGGTAATGAACTGTCAGCTTTCATAAACGTCGGTGAATTTCTTGACTATCCAAGCATGCTATTAGTTTCTCAAGAAGGGCTTGGCATATAATTAGTTACGAGAAGGCCAAATAACATTTCATTCAAAGTAATAAATACATTTTGTTAGTGAATGGTACACACTAGAGTTAGAACAAAAAAAAAATACAGATGACCTTCGTATCTTTCGGAATGTTCACATCAGACTTAACTCTTTCGACACGTCAAACCGCGACGTGGCAAAACTGAACGCCACGTACTAAAATGTTGTGATGTAAACAGAATGAAAACTAGTCTCTTCCTGACGGGATACACCTCAGTTATCCGAAGTGACGTGGGAGGGAATTAAAAGTGAACGTGGTCAAGGAAAATCTTGGTTTAAGTATTCAGTGCCATCTTCTTTATTGTACTAAACAAACGTCCTAAACTTTAACCCATTTATCCTCTCGTATCTGAACAGGTTAGGAGATGCATACATCATAAATATTCTGGCGTGTCCCCTCTGTTACTGCATCTACATTTTCAATTCATGACTTGTACATTTTCATACTCCCTTATAAATAATTTAAACAGCCTTGGGAGACAATATACGTGCCCAAAATCAGTCCAACAGAGCATAAAAACAACTTTTGTTGAATTATCTTTAAAGTTGTAAGACTTGCGGCAAAGGTTTTATTTTTCTCTATCCCTTTCGTTCAAAACAGTTTTTACTCCAATAAAACTTTTGGAAGTTACCTTGGACATGTGCCTGTTATTTCAACCAAATTTGGAATGTCTTATCAAATTCCAGTAAACTTCCTTACTATCTAACGTAATTAGAATCTTTTCAGTGTTTATTGAGATGCCACAGGTGTATAGCCACAACAAAAAATAATTGGCACACTTCTGCAACTTCCTTGTTAAATACATCCACAGATAAATTCGTATAACTTTAAAATTATACTTGGGTATAAATTTACAGTGTGGTAATGATTTATCTTGGATAAATTGGATTAATGTGTATTTAATCCAGTTACCATAAATAAAACCAAAATTCAGTGACAGATTAGGGGGTTTGTAAAGTTAGAAATAGTGTGTTCACAACTGAAAATATCAGAACTCAGAGAGAATTATTATACAGTTGTTCCTCATACATAATTTATTTAGCTTGCTAAACCACCCTGTGAACAAGGTTGATAAACACTATTTAATACGTAGTGTAAAAAAGTATGCCTCATGTGAGTCTGCATATCATATAATAGCAGAATTTCAAATAAACATCTTTGTATAAAACTTGATCATTCTAAAGCCACATTTCCTTAACCTATTATCTTTGGTATAAACTTGGCAACAATGCAAACACTTCGCACAGCTGCATCTATGAACACGTTATAAAAATATAAACACTTCCATAAAAATTTTATAGTCTCAGATGTTAGTACTTACATGAAAATGTGCATAATAAGTTAAACTGTTCTTACAGTATTTATTATTATTATTATAATTTAGATCCTAACTGCAAAATGTTACAATTAAACTTTAGACAGACCAAGGTCTCTGCTACACAATGTACACCAATAAACTTTCCTAAGAAGACTGACAAAAGTTAAATTCATTCAAGACAGTACCTTTTAATCATCTAGTAAAATTTACAGAACAAGGTGTAACGTTGTAAAACGCCAATATCCTTGTCTATATAGTAAACAATTATTGCTCATAATGCTGTATTTATAATTCAGTTACTTAAAATATACTGCTTATCATGCTCTTGTTTCTGTGAAATCCTACATGAATTGTATGATCTACAGAATGGCTGGATGAATGAATAAATAAACACAAATAATATCACTGCCATACCTTTCAAATCCTACTCAACTGATGTCACACACACATCTACAATTTTATGCACTTAAGACAAATTACGAACAAAAACAATTCCAAAAATGTGTAAACCACAATACTGACGTTAAAACCGGCTTCTTGTAAACTCTACCGAAAAATAATGTTCTGTGTCGATTAGAAAACTAAAACCGTCACATTTGTTTTGCAAGAAATAAAGATGAACTTAATAATACTGTGCTTCAATTAAACAGACTGTCATTTACAACATACGACCACACTGAATTAATCATCTCAAGTTTCCGTGCTTCTAACGCCTTAGCACGTTACGGTTCGCTGACAATGTCAATGAACGTCAGTGACATTCAAAAGCCGGAAACTTTGTCAGTGAAAACTATGGAATAACAGTATATGATTTGTTCAAAGTATCACAGTACCTTGGAATACAATTCGGCGGTGTCCTATCAACTTCCCAAGTGGCAAACAGCTTCATAGGAACGGGTTTCATCCCGACGATCGGCGGTGGCTTTGTCGCCTTCTCCGCCATGTTTACAGACTAAATGGTATAGTTACACCTACTGTTCCCAGACCGCGCAAAGACGCCACGCTTGCAGACGATCGGCGCACTTTGCCATCTGTTGAGCAAAATGTACAGTACAGCTTGACACTTGAAGTATGGTAATGCGAGATGAGCGCCTTATATGAAAAATTTGTAATTTTAACTACTCCGAATATTTGAATACAAGAGAAATGAAGTGAATAAGGCTTAATTCATTTTAGAACTTTATTTTCTGTACCAAATGTACAATGTTAATGATATCATACACAGCTTTTGACATGGTATCTTAAAAGAATGTAATTTTGAAGCCTTGAAGATAACGTCTCATAAAATCTGGGAAGGTATGTTATTATTCAGGTTTAAGACAAAGAATCAACAAGCATTATCAAAAAAATAATTATTATCCTCATCAGCATTCATTCATACAAATTTATTACAAAGACATTTTTGTTTCTTAAATACTGTACATATACATTTGTAATAAAACACTTCATATTCCAATCCACAGCCTGTTTTGAGTATCAGTAACCATACTTATCATAGCTTTAGGGTAGTTTATACACTTCTAAATTCTGTGTTCTATGGAATATATTCTGCAGACTTTTGCAGGCTCCAAA